GGACTTTGCGAATAAATGCGCAACTCTGATTTACTAGTAAGGCGGGGTGTTACAATTGGTATCAGAGCACGTTTCTGCGTCTCTGATAAGTTTTCAGTCGGATAAGTTTTCAGTAAGAAATTTTCAGAAGAGTTTTCAGAAAAGTTTACAGTCCGAAATTTTTCAGTAAAACCGAACCGTCATGTTCATGCCCCGCCGACAGCAGGTAAGTGCTGTTGCAATTCAGTTTCCAGTTATTATAAACATATTACTTTGTCTATGCTCAAAATTGAGGATCAGAATTGTAGTTAAGATGCTCGAATCAGATTCAGACTCTAGAGGTTGGACATGACTCTAGAATTCAGGCATTCAGATATGATTCTAGACGTTAGGATTTTCCCGAGATGACTCTAGAGTTCTTCAGGTTTTCAGTCAGTAATCATCGGCCAATTTTGGCAACTCGTCAAGAGATCTGTGTGCCTAGTAATCAGTCAGTAATGCTATCGCATATTCAGTAATATTCAGTAATGTTAAATCTTTCTTAATGTTCAGATGCCGCCACGTGGAGAACCCGTTCAGTGGGGTCCTACTCAGGCTACGGTAGTCGCCCAGTTCCGCGACTATCACGCAGAGAAGTTCTCAGGTCAGGGCGACCCCCGGATCGTCGATGAATGGATTCAGGGGTTGGAGTTTATCTTCGAAGTAATGGAATGCCCCGATAGGTTTCGCGTAGTTTGCGCTCAGCTTCAGCTCACTGGCGACGCGAGGCTCTGGTGGAACTCCTACTGGAGCATGCGCCCCGGTGAAAAGGCGGGTTGTACGTGGGACATGTTCAAGGATCTTGTCCGCGACAAGTACTACCCTTCGTACTATCGGGCAGAGATGGAGCGCCAGTTCTTAGCGCTTCAGCAGGGCACTCGTACTGTCGATGAGTACGAGCGTGAGTTCACCAGGCTTGCAGGTTTCGCACCGGATCTTGTTCGCACGGAGGCCCAGAGAGCTCAGAGGTTCATTGACGGACTATACCCAGCAGTCCGTCATAACATTGTGGGACACGGGACTCAGACTTATGCACGAGCCGTCTCTATCACCCAGGAGGTTGACGCGAGCATTAGGAGGGAGGCTGTTCGTGACCGTACTCAGCCAGTTGCCCCAGTTCAGCCAGTTGCAGTGCCACCAGCTCTACCAGCTCCACAGCCAGCCAAGGACAAGAAGAGGAAGGCGAAGGGTGCACAGGCAGACCGGAAGACCCGACAGAGACAGATTCCACCATGCCCGACTTGTGGCCGACTTCACAGGGGAGAGTGTCGTGCTGGACAGGATATTTGCTATTTTTGCCAGGAGCCGGGACACTTCGCGAGTCGTTGCCCGAAGAAGCTTCAGCAGCAGCCTCAGCAGCCACAGCAGCAGCAGCCACGACAGCAGGCACAGAGACCGCAGCAGCAGCAACATCAGCAGCGAGGCAGGCAGCAGGCCAGGGTCTACGCGGTCGATCAGGCAGAGGCAGCACAGCAACCAGGTACAATGTCCGGGATGATCGTTCTTAATGATGTTCCTGTATTCGCTTTGTTCGATACCGGAGCCACGCACACCTTCATTTCCCGACGGTGTCTCGACGCCATCGGA